TTTCCATTTGTTTTGCTTGAGCACTTTCAAACCACGTAAGTCTGATTGCACTGTCACCCTCACATCCAATGTATAGATAAATAGAAAGGGAAATGATCACTGGGAGGAAAATTAAGGCTTGGGTCGTACATCAACGCTGCTTAGCTGGCGTCCAAACACATAATTCACATTGCTGCTGGAAAGCCTCCAATGATTGCTTCACCGTTACAGATCAATTGCAGAAAATCTGTAACTTTGTTAGAAGCATAATTCAGGAATCTTCTAAACATTTGGGATTTAAACCCCACCGACAAAATGTATAGTAATTAACCCATGTGAAATTAAATCTAACTTTATGGAATATTTATACACGTGTTGTCTTAAATCCTTTCTGAAGCCTTTCCAAGAAAAGTATATGCCAAAGAATCAAAAGGCAATTTAACCAACCTGACTCCAGACCACCACCATTGAATCCTAAGGACTATCACCTTAGCATTCGTCACTGCTGAATGAGAAACATCGCAATGTGATTACCCAGTAAGTGAAATTAAATGAAATGCCCATTTACAAAAAGAAACTCATTTGTCCACTATTAGGTCGTTTAAACTTTAAGATTTTCTATTCATTAGTACACATAGCCATCGAGTGTTTGTGTGATTTTCTATACGTAGCTGCTTAGAACATAGGGCTACTGCAGTCACATTTTCTGTTTGATTCCCATAGTGGTGGTGAGCTAACTACCTGGAGAAAACAGATGTCTTTCTTCGCCCCAGGCATATTCCTTATCTCCAGGCCCCATTTTACCAAGGTGTAGGCAAGGAGATTGTGAATGACTCTGGAAAATCCATCAAAACCAAGGCAAGCGGCCAGCAGTGGTGGCTCACGCCTGCTGTAATCCTAGCACTTTGGGAGGCCGAGGAGGGAGAATCACTTGAAGCCAGGCATTGGAGGTTGCAGTGAACTGCGATGATGCCACTATACTCCAGTCTGGGTGACAGAGCGACACCTTGTCTCAAAAAAAAAAAAGAAAGAAAGAAAGAAAAACTAAGGCAAGAGCTATCATATCACAATCCTATAGACAAATATAGGTGATGTTTCACACAGGAAGAAAAGCTCCTCTCGTCTTGAAGGCTCTGAATAGATATTATAGTGTAAATCTGGTTATAGAAGTTCGTAAGGAAACTTAGAGGGCACCTCACTCACTCTGTTGCAACTCATACTTAGAGCCTTGAATTTTGCCTTTTGTCATTCATATGTAAAGCTTTCTCTTATTAGAGAGCACTGTGAATGTGTAGTGAGTCTCTATTACAATTCAAATCCACTAAACAAGATTGCTTAACAGTTTTGCCCCGAAGCTAATTAGGACTGAAACAGGAACAAAAGCTGAGACTTCTGACTTTGAAAAGCATCCTTGAGGCAGGGGGCGGCGGCTCATACCTGTAATCCTAGCAATCTGGGAGGCCAGGCAGGAGTATTGCTTGAGCTCAGGAGTTCCAGGAGTTAAAGACCAGACTGAGCAAGAGCAAGACTATCACCACCACCACCCCATCTCTATTAAAAATAGAAAAAATTACCCTGGTGTAGTGGTGCATGCCTTAATACCACCTACTTATCAGCCTGAAGCGGGAGGATCACTTGAGCCCAGGAGTTTGAGGCTGCAGTGAGCTATGATGATGCCACTGCAATCTAACCCGCACAACAGAGCGAGACTCTGTCTCAAAAAATAAAAAAGGCAAAAAAGATCTAAGATCTTTGTAGCTTTTGTCTCCTCCTTCCTGCTGGGCTCACCCTACAGTCTTTTTTTTTTTAGTGGTCATGAAATCAATTTAATGGGTTGTTATAAAGATCAAAAACACAAATAAAATAGAATACAAGGGAAAAATCTGAATTCATTGCACATAATGAGTAAGTACTCTTTTATGGAAATTCTGTTTCTGTTATGATCCAGTTTGTATAGTAGTGGATCATAATGTATTTTACATATGTTTTTTTATCTTGGGTCACAAGCAAACAAGTTGAAATGCTATAATTGTGGAGGAAACTGGTAGTAACAGATTCAATCTGATAACTGCTCAGGTTCCTTCCTACTTTGAAATTCTGTGATTCTGTGCAATCTTATGTCTCTTTTTTTTTTTTTAATTTCAGCATATTATGGGGGTACAGATGTTTAGGTTACGTATGTTGCCCTTGCCCCCCTCCCCAAGTCCGAGTTTCAAATATGTCCATCCTTCGGGTGGTGCGCATTGCACTCTTTGTGTATGCATATATCCGTCCCCTCCTCCCCCCTGCCCCCTGCCCAACATCCAATAGATGTTATTCTTATATGTGCACTTATGTGTTGATCAGTTAATACCAATTTGATGGTGAGTAAGTGTGGTGCTTGTCTTTCCATTCTTGGGATACCTCACTTAGTAGAATGCGTTTCAGCTCTATCCAGGAGTATACAAGAGGTGCTATATCACCATTGTTTCTTAAAGCTGAGTAGTACTCCATGGTATACATATACCACATTTTATTAATCCACTCATGTATTGATGGTCAACCTACAGTCTTGAAGGAAGGCATTCTCTACATGGGGCAAGAAAGGTCCCAGGACTCTGAGCTCTGAGCTTGTACGAGGCTGTTCTTTGGGAGTCTCACAGTCAGGCTGCCTGTGGAGCTGCTCCAAGGTGCAGACTTTGACTCTTCACTTGCATAAATGGCACACTTGGCCACTAGTTCCTGCTCCTCCTGTCTCCTCTGGGACCTCACGACCTTCTTTTGTCTGTGTCCTTTGTCTTAAATTTTTCTCTGGACAATATCTTCTGCTTTAGAAAAGTTTCACTAATCCCTTCTGAGCTTCATCTTAAGAGATTTATAAGTTAATATTCTCAGTTCATATTCACAAATTCTGACTATTACAAATAACAGCATATTTTACCGTCCTTACACACGGTAATATATACTCATAGTCAGTGATCATCACAAAGAGTTTGGGAGTGGTCAAGGTTTTGGTAGGTGAGGGCTTTTTAGTGTTTTACAGCTCTAGTGGTTAAGAAATTATATATCATACCTAACGATATAGGTGAGATTAAATTCTCCTTTTTCTCTTTTAATGAAATTGACATTTTTCACCTTCATTTTCATAAAATCCTTTCAGCATATGATGATTTTTTGAAATGATAATCTTTAAGCACTATCGTTTTCCCAGTTAAACAGACCCAATTGATTTGCCCTTTCCCCATTTGTCTTTTCTATACTTAGGTGTAAACTCCTTTAGACAGGAGTATGTCTCTTTTAATGGATTCTGGCCAATAGGCAATAAGGACTATCCTATGTACACATAGACATGTAGCAATACTTCCTCAGGAGGAGGAGAGTACTGGCTAATGTTGACCGTGAGCTTACTACCAGCAAGGTATTATTCTAAGATCTATAAGTGGAATCAATTGATTCATTCCTCATGAAGTATTATTAGCCCCATTGTACGGATCAGTAGATTGAGTAATTCATGTAAGTCACAAAGCTTGATAGTGGCTAGTAATGAGAAACACACACAGAGATGTATCTTCATTTCCTTAATCATTTCTTCAAAAACTAACCAATTTCCTCAACAAAGCCTCATGTTCTCCACAGATATAATCTTTGAAAATCAAATAATAATAAAACAATAAATAAGAGCTGAATCCTTCCCACTGATCCAGAGCCACAAAATCCACAGTTTTCAGTATAATTTCCAGTTCATTTGTTAGTTTGCAATATATTCCCCTGCCCTTAGAAATACGTAAATGGATTGTATTCAAAAATAAATGTGACTTTGACTGATGACAGCAATGGTAGCAAAGACAAAAAAAGAAAGAAAAGGAAAATAGAGAAAAAAACAAAAATAAATCTGACTAGATATTGTGCAAGTATTTTTACCTTTATAATTAAACTAGTCTCTATAATCAGAGGTGGTTTGGCTTGCAGATACAGTTAACATATGATTCTTTCTTACAAGTCTGTCTGCTGCAGAGAAAATTATGTGTAATATGCAAAGGCAATAAGTAGGAAAAATTAAATTCAGACATCTTTTTAGATGAATGCTATTGACTATCAAGACTTTCCAAACACCATGTTAGTTAGCCCCGTAGCTAATGGATTTTGCAAAAACGAAAAATAAATTTCTTTGAATTTCTTTATGAGGATGTGATGAAAACACAATCTCTGGTCATGAACAATTAGAACTTGAAAGTGAATCCTGTTTCTAAGTATAAAGAATAAAATAAAAATCACCCATAACACCAACATTCAAAAATCAGTACTCATCATGTTAGTACATTTCCTTCCAGTCTTTTTTTCTACTTTTTAAAAACGCAGTAGATAGGTTTAAGCTATCTGTGAAAACTCTAAGTTTATTTAGACCATTTATTCAAAAAGTTTGTCCCCTCATCCCCAGAAAAAAATTCCTATTGTCTTCCTGTCCTCCTGCAATGTATCTATCCCCTTCGAAGACAGCTCAAGTCATTGACAGAAAAAACAAATGAAGCTTTAGCAACTCTGCTGTTTCCTTTCCTATTTAGAAGATAAATTCTTTAATAAAAATTAAAGATTAAGAAAACCTTCAGTGATTAGCATGCAGCCCCTTATTTCCAAAGATGCCTTAGCTGTGCTCAGGTGTTAGTTCTTAGTACAAAGTTATTTGTAATGAAAGGGTCAAGCTTAAGACTTCTCTGAACCTATGCTCTACATCTCTGTTAATGGCCTTCCTGGTGTTAGATATTTGTTTAATGATCAAGAGTGGTTTCCAGTCCTACCGCTGAGTTTTTCATAAAGTAGCATAACCAAGTCAATGTTTAACTGGATTCTTTGGGTCTGAAATGACAAAGTAGGAGTTGAAGGGACGTCTCCATAGAAACCAGCCTCCCAGGAAGTGGCCAGAGAGGTTAGTGTGTAATGAAACAGAACTAGAAAGATGTCATGAAGGAAATGACTGCTTTATAAAGCTGGGGTAAATTTCTGAAATACCTTGATTAAAACAAGCTACATGAAAGGCCCCCAAACCACTTCCCTCATGGTTTTCCTCTGAATGTCTTTCATGTGAAATGGGCCTGAGCCATTCTAAGGCTCACCCTAGGGTGACCAAAGTAGCACCTTTGAAAAACAAAGAGGAAGAAACTCCTTTGGCTGGCCCTGTGGATGTCACATTCAATCAGAATCTGCAAGAAAAGAGTTCATATTCGTTGGCAAGGCTGCAGGACCAGAATAAAGCCTTGGAAGGGCAGCTACCACCTCTACGAGAAACCCAGTATGGAAGATATTTTGCAGGTAAACATAAAACCCAGCATGAGATTTGTGTGTCTGGACCAAGGAGAGCCATTGATTTACCTGAATGTCTCCATAATGTCAGAAAGTTTCTAAATTACTGAAATGTAGAGGAGTATCTTTTGATGGGGATTGAATGTTTGTCAATTGAAAGTACTCTGGGTACATTAGAATGGGTATGGAAACTGTGTGTAAACGGGCTTTTCATCATTCCGTGTGAGAAGGAAAAATCATTTTGTTTCAGCTTGGTTTCTAGTGCCAATGTTTATTTTGCCAGACCATTAAAATTATACAGATACTGATGTGACAAATGATGACAATCGTATGTTTCAGCTAGATTCTAAATTTAAACCATTCTCTCTGGTACAGTTTAATGCACCAGACATTGTGGGTTTGAAAGCAGCACTTTAGGAGTGAACTCGTTCTAACATGAATTTTGAAACCACCCTACACAGAATTAATTTCTTGCAGTATAGACGATCGGATGAGTCACCCTTTCCCCAGCTCCACATTCTTCACGATCATCCGCAGAACTAAGAGGGTTCTTTCCCGTTATGATTGGAAGCTCTGAGCCTGAAGTGGCTATAAATTATCCTGGAATATTTTATAAGACATGTAAAATGTGTTATGACAACCACAATGATAATTAAGCAGACATTCTGTCTGTTAGAATGAGAAAGAGAAATATGTTCATAATATATATGTATATAAATGTCATTTTCTCTTTTCTTCACATTCTGAATCAATAGTTTCTCTTATTGGACCACTTGGTTGGAAAGCTTTCCATTCTCTAGCAAATCTTGCCCCAGAATGATTTTCATGGCTACTGTCTGTAGAATCGACAGCCTTTCATTATTTCTATATGGCCTGTTCTTATGTTCTTTATGTTCTCCAAGTTCTTAAGCACAGGAGTGGGAGAATTTTTCTCTTAGATTCATAGATGAATTCCTTTTTTATTCAAACTCCCCTATCCAGAGTTTTAAGATTTTGGTAACTAAATGAATTGTGAAAGTTGATTCTAGTGTTTTAGAGTCCCGACTGGAAAATGTGCTAATGTTTGAAATGGCAAAATCACATTAACAATAAATAACAAGGGGATGGTGATCATTCTGGTCACACTTTCAAAGGCCCAGCTCCACCAAATACCAAATCATATGACCTTGGGCAAGTTACTTCATACATTTTCTTCACCCATAATCAGGGGTAAAAATAAATGCCTAACACAGACTATACCATCTAATTAAATAAATGGGCAATATCATTCAAATCACATAAAAATAAGGAGTAGTCAGACTTCTGAAAAAAATTTGCAAAAAATATTTACATTTTAAAATCCAATGTTTGTTGTTGTTGTTGTTGTTTCTGTCCAGCTAAATATGCCAGCATCTTTAGAAAGAAAATAAGGACATAGTTTCCATCCCACTAAAAGTTAGAGGGAACAAAGTCCTTGAAGTGATCATTCAAAAGTCTTAAGGACATATAATTACCCAGGTATTTTTCCACTTAAAATGCAAAATGGGACTGTAGTATAGTCTAAGCAACAATCTAGATATCAGAATGCATCCAGATTAAGTGAGAAGGACAAGAACTTCATTCATGTTGATCATGGTAGCAATTCCAAGAGCCCAGGATAATTAAGTCAAAAAATAAAAACCATAATGAATCAGTAGAGCCTCTCCTTTTCCTAACAGAGGCTTAACTCTGTATCTCTGGCTTGTTTCATCAGGAAAGAATATTGATATGTTGTTATATTATAGTGGCAACTTGTAGAAATTTTTTCCCTAGTAGGGAGACTATTTAATTGTCATAATACAATGATAGACATACTCCTATTCCACACTCCCGTTCCATTTATCACATCTCTCTGTCTAATCACCTACCCATCTATCTATGATCTGTTTCATCTGAGATGATAATTTATTTTCATTTCTTAAAGTTATTTATTTTTCTGATTTCCTATATTTTGGGGGAGGAGATTTCATGGAATTAAAATAAATCAATAAGTTTCTATTTTCCAGGCCAAATTCTATTTGAATAACATTTGCTATTTGTCAATACAATGTTAATTTTGCAGATCTTCCTCTAAATATGAAGCTGGGGAAGAAATAAAAGCAGAAATTAAATCCTGGGCCTAGGCTAAAATATTAATAGTATCATTTGCATAAACATAGGGCCCCTGCTTTCTGTGTTTGACCTCCACATTCAACCCACAGGTTAGACATATATAACTGAAAAGGTACAAAATTGTGTTAACAAAGTCTAATAACTAATGAGTGACTAATATAATGGTAAATTGTATTTAATGATTTATTTCTATTTCTCCCCCAATCTTTAAAGCATCCAGGGCCATGTATTTTGACATCCCACTGGAACAGGGAGAAACAAGTATTATTAAAAGGCATCCACCCCAAAGACTTCAAGTAAGATGAATTTAAAAGGCTTCATAAGGAATTTCTTGGATATAATGGTAACATCCCTTTTTTATCTATAATCATAAAAGAGGGATATTGATAATGACCAAGCTGTTAACGAGAATGTTGTTAAAGAGAATGTTGTCAATTGCAAAGACTATATACTTTAGGATTTCCTTTAGTGATGATTTCACTTTTCAGACCCACAACCAAAAGAAGCAGGTATAGTAGCAAGGACATAGGCAAGTTGTGACTCAAGGGACAAGAATCTAGCACTGATTGGCTGGGTGACCATGGTAAAATCACTTGTAATAAACAATAACAACTACCACTACTACTATTTAATTACCACCTACTACAAGTCAGATGTTATACTAGGCAACTTGACCTATGTCATCCATTTAATCCTCTTATCCCCCTATGAGAAAGGAATGATTATCTCTATTTTATACATGTGGTTCAGAGAGTTAAGTAAATTGCCCAAAGATATGCAGGGCCCAGATATCAACCAGGTCTCCAAAGTCTGTGCTCTACTGTCAGCAGAAGTGAGCTCTCTAGTCCTTCTATTCTTAACCTTTTATCATTCTGGATGTTAACTGGTCGTTGCAGTTGGGACACTGGATTTCAAGTCAGCAAAGCAAAAGCCTTAAATGCATTCACCTTAATAAATATTTAATGAATTCCCTCTGGAGAGCTATAAATTCTAGGAACTCTCCCCCTAGAAATGAAAAGAGATGAGAGTGGGTCCTTGAAAACGAGCATCAGTTAAAGGAGAGTTTTAGGCCCGCCTGCGAGCAGGATCTATCGCTGACATTTGAAAAAGGGAATTGAAGCCAAATCCCACCTGCTACACAATTCACCCAGATGCCTGGACCAGTCCCAGGGATATTGAAGCTCATTTGTTAGGGATTATTTCTGTTTCAGTTGGTTTTTATTTACCTGTCTTCTGCAGAAGCTCACAATCAGTATTTGAAGTGATTATATCCTTTGGTCCCTAAAGAGCATATTTTCCCAAAATATTAGAAACTTCAAAAATATTATTTCAAGAAAAATAAAGTATAAATATAAGAAATATCCAATTTTAAAATTTATTGAGTATATCTCTAGCTAAATGGACAATTTTAAAACTTGTTATTCCTAAATCGAATGCTTCCTTTCCAAGGAGTGTTTAATATTTGTTCTTTTGAAAACTCTAAGCTTATTAACTCAAATATAAGATATTACTATAACCAGTGAAAAATATTTGCATAGTACTCTATAGTTCACAAAGTACTTTTTATATCTATTGGTACTAGATAAATAAGATTAAGCTTATTCTCTCAGTCAATCAAGCTCAAAAAGAGAACTTTCATATTTCAGAGTCAAACACTGCACCCTCCTACCCTAACCAACCACCTTAAAAATGAAGAATCAAGACAAGTGAATTATTATTTGAGTGCAAAGACTATGTCTTAATCAGTCTTATATCTTCAGCCACTAACACTTAATGTGCATCCCAAAAAGTTGTGAATGAGTGAACAGGTGAATGAATGCCAATGAGATCCATCCTCCTGCAGAAGGAAAAAAACACTCAAAGGTCGTCCATCCTATGGCGGACCTGTAACATCACTGTATTAGAAGTCCAATTGACTAGCCAAAATAACCAATGTGATTAATTGTATGGATATAGGAATGCTTTATTGAACCCAGGAGCTGGGAGACACTTGGACTTCAGGTAAGAATTGTGCCTTGGAACCTGAAGGGCAGAAGAACTCACTAGGTGTCTGCCCTAACCTCTCCTCCATGCATTGCTTTACTCTCTCTCCCTGGAGATCAGCTTTCTCTGCTCCTCAGGTGCACTTGATGAAATTTGGCCTTGCATCTTATAGTTCCAGTCAATTGGGTAGATTGGCCTAACCCTCTTGGCCTCAGTCCCAAATTCCTGGGAGTAAAGATCTTATTGGCTCAGCTTTGCTCATGATCCCAGCTCTGGTCCAATGAGCTATGACCACAGGATATGCTCATGCAGTAAATATGTAGGCAGAGGAGTCACCCCTGTAGATTCTGCATTTGTGTCCCAGGGAAGAGGGAAATCACTAGGAACTTGGCAGAAACTCCCAAAGATATCAACTATAATTATCTTCACAAATGAGGCTCAGCACATTTTCCACCACAAATGGGTTTTTGAAAGAATAATGCATGCTGGGTCCTTATGACATGTTAATTAATAGCCTAATCTCTGCCAAAGAAAATTCTAAAAGTATTTTTAATTATTAAACCAAATCTAATTGCATCCTCGATAATTTGAGTTGCATATTTGGCACTCTCCACTTCCTGAAACTCTACTCCTCAAGTAAAGAGCAAGTCGTGAACTAATGTTCACCAGCCTGGAGCTGAGAGGATCTGGGAGTCTGTGCCAAGGAACTCTGAATCCAGCGTGCCTAAGGCCTTATCGAAGGGTTGATCAGCAGTGTCCCCTCTGGCCTGGTCACTTCTCATCCATCCATCTCAGGTCTAGCCCCTATATAGTCTGTCCTCAGATGATCTCCTTGGATGACTCCCTGATCTCCAAAGATTTGTTCAAATCTTACTGTCCCTGTAAGGCCAACACTGACCAACCTATTGACGATCACAACCCTCATGGCAGCACTCTTGATTCCCCTGGCCTTTCACTGCCTTTTCTTTTCCCCAGAATGCTAACTTCCATCTAACATACCAAACACTTTACTTATCTATTATGTTTATTGTGTGCTTTCTTCGCCACCCCCATACCTCCAATGCCAGGATGTAATCTTCACAGAGGCACTGATTTTATTTTTTTTTTTTGTCTTCACTAATGTATCTGAGTGTCTAGAACAGTGTCTGGCACATAATAGGTGATCAATAGGTATGTGTTGAATATTGAATGAATGAACGAATTGGAGAAGAGAGAAATACGAGTATGAATCTGCTGACGAGAGATGAGGCGGGTGGTTCTGACTTGAACGGTTTCATTATGTTGTTTTTGAGTCTACAAAACCATGCACATGGCATAGATTTTCATTTGCTCAGATCCTTTCTTAGATCTTTCAGTGTTTCGTAATTTCTCCATAGGAGTCTTGTGCAATATTTTTAGGTTTGTTTCTAGGCGCCTGTATCAGGTAGGGTTCAACCAGAGAAACAGAACCAGTAAAAAAGATATATATTAAAAGACACTGCAGGGAACTGGCTTACAGGATTGTGGAGGCTGGCAAGGCAAGTCCAAAATCCACAGGGCAGGCATTTGAAAAGGGCAGGCTGGAACTCTAAGGCTTGAGCTGAAGCTGCTGTCCACGGGCAGAATTTCTTCTTTAAGGTAGCTTCGGCTTTGCTCTTAAGACATTTCAATGATTGAATCAGGCCCACCTAGATTATCTAAAATAATATTCCTTACTTAAATTCAACTGGTTATGGGCTTTAATGCCATCTACAAAATCATCTCACAACAACACCTAGATTAGTGTTTGGGTAATTCAAGATTTTGTGGGGGGGGGGCAAGGGCGACATACGTAACCTAAACATCTGTACCCTCATAATATGCTGAAATAAAAAAAAAAAAAAAAAAAAAAAAGATTTTAGCCTAACCAAGTTGACACATAAAACTGACCACCAAAATACCTTACAGGGTTTTTTCCTCCCTATTGTGAATGAAGTCTTTTCTCCCATTTAATTTTCCAAATGATTATTACTGGTGAATAAGAAATCTATTGATTTTTGTGTTCTACAATTTTATTGAAATACTCTGGTAATTCTAATTTTCTATAGGCTCTTTTAGATGTTCTATGCAGACAATATCTTCCATAAGTGAGAATAATTTTTTTTCTTTTTCTTCCCCATTCTTGTCCCTTGTACTTGTTTTCTTGACTTTTGCATTAGCTAGAACTTCCCTCGCAATGTTGAATACAAGCAATAGTAATGGGCATCCTTGTCTTATCTATAACATTAGTGGGACTGGTTCTCAAACTAAGTACAATGTTTGCAATAGGATTTTCGTAAATATTGGTACCAGTCAGAGTCCCAAAAGGAAACAGATGGCACACTCAAATGACGATAACTTAAAGTTTTCTTTATGAGTAACTATGTACAGAGGTTTGGATTAGGGAAACCGCAAAAGATATTGCAATAACAGCTAGTAGCAGCTAAGCAGTAACCACCTCTAGGCCGAGGGACTAGGAAGGGGAGAAATTACTGGAACTCAGAAGGAGAGAGTTTGGTGGAGGAAGCTGCTTTGAGAGAGGCAGTGACCTTCAAATGATGGACACAGCTATCCAGATATGACCTTGCAGTCATGTAGGCAGAGGAACGGATACCCTGACCTCATTATCTTTCCTCCTGTCAGCGATCCTCAGTGGCTAAACCCAATGGGAAGCTAAAAGGCAAGAGAAACTGCTTAGTCTTCACAGGCAGTGAACAGGGTAGAAAAATGTGGCGAGTAGATCTGGAGAAACAAATGGAAGATACCTGGCACAAGGCCCTTTATTTAAATTATAGATATTCCTTTTATTCCTCAAGTGCTAAGAGTTTTTCTCAGGGCTGAGTGTCACATTTTATTGCTTTTTTCCTACACCCATTAAAATAATCATATGGATTTTCTTTTTAACCAGTTGAGACAATGTATTACACTAATAGATTTTATGATGTTGAACCATACCTGCATTCCTGACATAAACCCTACTTGGTCATGAGATACATATATAAATACATTGCTGAATTTTCTTTGCTAAGGCTTTATGTGTCTATTTTAATAAGTGAAGTAGATCTGTAAGTTTCTATACTGTTTTTTCCAGCTTTGCCACCAAGGCTGTGTGAGTCTTAATTACCATTCCCTCTTTCCTATTCTCTAAAACATTTCATATAACTCAGGTGTTATCTGTTCCTCAGCAGTTTGGTAAAAACAGGTCTTTGAAACTGTTTTTGGACGTCTGGACTTTTGAGGGGAGAAATTTTCCTGCTAACTAAAATTCTTTTATGGTTATTAGTTGATTTAGGTATCTTATTTCTTCTTGCTAATCTGTATTTTCCTAGGAAATTATCCATTTATCTAAGTTTTTCAATTCTTTGTCATAAAGTCTTCTTTATATTCAGCTTTCTGATAATGCTTATAATAACACATCTTCCAGCTCACATTTTAGTGCAGGTCTTTTCTGCTGGGTAGAGGGGTGGAAAACACCTCAGCCCCTGACTTCAAACTAGTCCTTGCCTTTATGACTTCTCACTTCAAGACTGTCCGGATACCTTTCCCTGCTTCTCAGAACCTTAAAAGACACAATCTTAAATCATGGTGCCAGACAAATTTTACTTTTTTCTTGAGTTGCTCTGGCCCATCTTTTTCTTCTTGTTAGTAAACAGGAAAACCATCTCAGATTAGTGTTTATCACCAAGTTCCGTGAATATGGTCTATGGTTGATTTAGTCTCGATTCCTAAATCTCCCAAAAGACACGTCAACTGACTATGCTGACCATTTGTTTTCTTTGAGAAGCCAAATAATCAAGAAGTCTTTAGACAAATAATACATTTTTTAATATTATGAAATGAAAAGGTAGGTTCATGCTACCAGTTCTCCAGTAATTCCTTCCATTGTGTTCTCTCTGAAAATGAAGTGAGGCATCTTGCTTCCCAAGCATTCTGAGGCAACTTCGTTTGATTGGTTTATTTAGCTGAAGCCAATTTTCTCAACATTTTTTCCTGCGGTGCTTCTCAGGTCAAGTGCAAATGCTTTAACAGAGAGATCCTATTTGCAATGTTAGTTGCTGCCATCTAGTGGCTTTTGTGAAGGAATCGTGTGATTCTTTAGGTGCTTTTCAAAGGACAGGAAGCCAGCAAACATATAAAAAAATGCTCAACATCTCTAATCATTAGAGAAATGCAAATCAAAACCACAATGAGGTATCACCTAACCCCGGTGAGACTGGCCTCTATCAAAAAAACACAAAACAACAAATGTTGGCGAGGATGTGGAGAGACAGGAACACTTTTACACTGCTGGTGGGACTGCAAATTAGTGCAACTTCTGTGGAAAAGAATTTGGAGATACCTCAGAGAGCTAAAAATAGAAATACCATTCGATCCAGCAATAGCACTATTAGGCATCTACCCAAAAGAGCACAAAACATTCTACAGTAAGGACATCTGCACCCGAATGTTTATGGCAGCACAATTCACTATTGCAAGAATGTGGAAACAACCCAAGTGCCCGTCAATCCATGAGTGGATTATCAAAATTTGGTATATGTTTACAAAGGAATATTAATCATAAGAAATGACAGTGATCTGGCACCTCTTATACTTTCCTGGATTAAACTTAAGCCCATTATCCAAAGTGGGGCACCACAAGAGCAGAAGAACGGGATCCATTTGTACTCACCATCAAATTGGTATTCACATAAATGCACATATAAGAATAACATCTATTGGATGTTGGGCAGGGTGGAGGGGGCGGGGGGAGAAGGGAGGAAGGAGGAGGGGACGGGTATTTGTATACACAAGGAGTGCAATGCGCACCACCTGAAAGATGGACATATTTGAAACTCAGACTTGGGCGGGGGACAAAGGGCAACATACGTAACCAAAACATCTGTACCCCCCTAATATGCTGAAATAAAAGGAAAAAAAAAAAAAAAAGAAAGCAATTGCCTGGAGAGAGTTCTTGAAAACAGCTACCACTTAACCCTTATCGGAACTATGTATTTAAGTAGAAAGCCTGAGACTAGAAGAAAGGGGTCTGTGGTTAATTATATATTCATACTATCAAAACAAAAACCTAGCCTAAGAAATTATGGCTAGATGATTTTAAATAACTAAAAAAATCTTGGCTTCATCAGGCTTGTTTCTTCAATAATGCTCCACAAATAAATCCTTCGGTCTGTTTCGATGGTCTGTTTTGATGTCGTTCCTTTATTCACTTGAGACACTATGGAAGTCAATGGACTCCAACCTAGAAAGAAATCCTCAGAATCTCTGGGAGAGTTTTAAAAAACATATATCCCCAGGACATACCCCAGACCTGTTGAATCTCAATCTCCAGTGAATGACCCAAGGATTTCTTCTTCTTTTTTTTTTTAATTCCGGGAAATTCTGATGATAAAACATTGTGGGAAACAAATAGTAGAGAAAAGAGGATGGGATTTGGAACTGGACAGACCTGAGCTTGAATCCTAGAGATGACACTAGCTGTGCAACTTTGGACAAAGTGCTAGCCTCTCTGAAATAGGGAATCATCATGATTATCCACAGGGCTCACATGGGAATTGAACAAGATGACATATTTAAAACTCTGGGCATGATACGTAGCAATGGCTGCAAAGTTGTAAAAGCAAAGTCAGAACCAAATCCTGAACATTCTCCTAATCCAGAGGATAAACAAACACTTCCTTGATCTCCCCACCTCCAGAAATCCCCTTTAGTCATGGCAGACTCTTCCTCCCATAGGTGCCTGGAGGGTCCCCTCTCCCTTGGCCTCCCTTCCCTTCCTCTCCTCCCTTTTTCCCTCCAGTGTGCTGACTTGATCAGCTGCTGCCTCCTGTGCCAGCAGGTCCCATTTGCTTTGCATCTTCATATACTATAGAGTTGAGAGCCAGGGTAACAAACATACTTCTCTTACCAGTATTAATCTTGTCATTATATCTTTGCTAAGTTATGTTAAAAGACCCACTTCCTCATCTGAGGTGAGATGGGACAGAGAACCACTTCCTACTGGAAATGCAAATTACCAGGCACGTGTCTAACATAAAGATGAGTTCTTTCCCCTTGATGTCTCTTCCCTGTCTCCGTATCCTTTGCCCTCCTCTTCTTCTTTGGGCTGCTCCACCAGAAAGGGCTGCTGGCTGCTCTTCCCAGAACAGGTGAGGGCCAGGCCCAGGGACCAGGAAATGGACCTACAGGGAAGTAGCCGTGGGAGGCCAGAGGTGCTCCCCATTACAAGTGCTGGATACTCTGTACATATTTTCTGTGGTCCTGCTCTCTCTTTTTATCCCGGTCACCTTGAAAGCCAAGCTGGCTTCCAAGTCCACTCCTTGATAATGCAATAAATCACACCAAAATGAAAAAGAGTGTTTAAATAAATTAGCACTTGCGTTCAGCATTGGACTAAGGTGAGAGTGGTGCTCTCACTGTTGGCCACAGCATGGCGTTCTCCTGCTTTTCCTCCTACTTCTCCAGCCATCACTTCCCAGTCTCCTTGGCCAGCGCATCCCGAGCTGCCAGCCTCTCGATGCTGGAGCTCCTCGAGTCAGCAGTCCTTGGCTCTGCTCTTGTCACTCATGACCTTGGCTTCACTCATACTCTACCCAGGGATGATTCCCAAAAATCTCTGGCACAGACCTCTACTCTGAGCCCCATGCCTAATTATCTACTCAACATCTACACTGGCATGTCCTGAAGGTGTCAAAAATTCAACCTGCTCCAAACCACATTTGTATCTTTTTTCTACATGCCACCCAAACCACATCTTCCCCTAGGATTCCCCATCTCAGGGAATGATAACACCTTGGATGGGGATATCCTCTGGTTATTTGGAGACTCCACTCCCCTCCACCAACTATATGAATCTTATTTGGTTAGGCTTAGATATTTGTAGAGCTCATCAATTTCCCTCCCTCAACACCAGTCCATTATTGTTGTCCTCCTAACTGATCTCCTCAGATCCATAATTGCTCCTCTCTAATTAAGTTTCCACACTGCAACCACAGTGATTAAAGCAAGTGTATTCATGTTACTCCTTTGCTTAACACATGTCAATGGCTTCCCATTGCCTTGAGAGACCAATACCTTTAGAATGGCCCATCGGGCCCTACATGACCTGACTCCTGCCTAACCTCCCCAGTCTCATTCTGGGACACTCTTTCCCTCACTATGAACTGAAGCCATCCAACTTCTTTCAGTTCCTTCAACAGATCACGCAAGAAGGGCTGGAGGCAGACCTATTGACATGAATCGCTGGCCTGTCTCAGTGAGCCCTTGGAACTCCAGCATGATCTCCCCCATAAAGCCAAGCCCCTGCTAGGAAAAGACATCACTAAGATTTGTTAGCACATTGTACTTTCATTTTAAATGTGTCTCATAATCACTGTTGACTAACACTGAGGAGACTGAGAAAGCTTCTTTGGAGATGACAAAACCAGGACACTTCCCTAAGGACTGGAATAGTTCAGCTGAGTGGTGAAAAGATGAATAAAATAAAATAACTTCCTGGTGCCTCTTTTATCGCTAATATCCTAAGACACTTGTTGTTTGATAACTTTGGATGTGCTGCTGCCTTAATGCAGACAGTAAAGGATTCTTAGTCTTTTAACTCTCTGACCAATATTTGGATCAATAATTCACTGCCAATGGTGCAACAGAACGATAAAGAACCCAGGTACATTGAAAAGCTGTTTGTACCGATACAACTGTAAAACTGTTAGAATTACCTTCCCTGCATGCTCCCAGCAATAAGTGCTGCTTTTCCAAAGTTTACTGTCTGGTTTATTGTGTTTTACCATCTCATGGCATGAAGAATGCTGACTGCTCTAAATGTTGCACTTCTAGAAGCTCGAACCCATTGACTTGCCACAAGTAATTACTTCTGAAAGGCTTCTGAGCCAGCGAGGAGCTGGGACAATGCACAAAGCAAAGGTAGGCTGCGCAGTGACCGGAGGGGTGGTTAACTGGGGGCAGGCCGCAAGGGATCGGGGTGAGCTGGCCTTTTCATGTAGTCCCTGCACAGAAAAGTTCAAGGACAAATCAAACTGTTAAGTGATTCAGAGTCATAGCGTTTTAAAGCTATCCCTTCTCTCCTGGGCCTGCCTCCAGTGGGCAATTGCTCTTCCTTCTCGGATGCGCTCTGGGCCCTTTTCTGTTTCATGATGAAAATAGGGCAATGCAGATGAGAGAGAAGAATTTTACTTGGAAATTGATCATTCTAGACATTTTCAAGTCTGTGAAAAATCCAGCATGACTCTTCCCTTTCTTTCCTCCCCTCAGTTTAAACTTTCTCTTCATTCTTAATTTGCAGGAGAAATTTTATTTATTATACAAATTGTTCCTGACTTATTTGCCACAACCTCACCAAAAAGTAATCATAGCAAAGGTCTTCTGTAGATCTTCTCCCTGCTGTGCACTTGTAACTCTCTACTGGGTAGGACTCCCCTCTCGCTGAAATGAAAGCTGTGAGGTGGGAGCGGATTTTCAACACTTTCCACTCCTAAATTCATTCTGGAGCCAGCTAAGGGCTTCTGTGCGGCTGGCTGACTTGGTAAAGGATGTCCAGGCATTGTCAGATTCTAAATGCCACATTCCTGGTGCTGACAGCACCTGCGGAGATGCCCCCCTCCCTGAGGTTCACATCGGCTGACAGTCACTGCCCACTGGGCAACACAAAAGGTATCACTGAACACATCCCTTCCCTTTCCTGGCTACATAAAATGACAAATGAAGGTATGTTCACCTCTGGTTGCCCTCAATAACTGTCTGCACTGTCCCCCTGGAGCTTGTGACAGACCGGGGTGGGGGTCGGGGGTAGCTACCAGAGTCACAAATAATCAACTTCAAATTCTCCCTAAACTGCAACGTTCTCCAAGGCTTACATTGGCATAGAGAAAACACACTCCGTAGAAGTAGGTTCCATTTAACAATTCCGTGGCTTTCTTCTTATTTCATAGCCAGCCAATCAGGCAAAGGAGGCAGAGAGAAATAGGAAGGTTTCATCAAACCAGAACACATTCCCGGGGAGAGAGTAATAAGCCTCTGCTGACAGGGGAAGTGGTATCTAGTCAAAAATGAGATGTAGAAAGAGATTTCCATTTGAGGTTTGCAAAACTCTACAGGAAACTTAAAAGCTACATCATTTACACAGCAAAGGGCCACTTCATTCACTGATAACACAACGGACTTGTCAGGGACACACAACAGTCTATCTTTGCCATCACAAGAGATCTCTATGGATTATGATTGATTGATGAAGATCTCACTTTGTGCCAAAAAACGATGTAAGGTTGTGGATTGCAGTTAGTAACGAATAACCCCATACTAACGGTTGTGTCATCTTTCATATCAGGAACCGGAAAAGAAAATGCAAACGCCAATGTATACTTCTGGGAAAAGGCAATATCTGCATAAGATGCAAATGCTGGAAATGAACCGTAAAAGACAAGAGGTAAACATGAGAAGAGAGAAGAGTGTCACATCTACCAAATCTACACCACATAACCACTGCCCTGGCACATGAATATAGTCAAACATACATATCCAGTCTCTGCTTAGCATTTTAAATTTAGTCACTGGCACTGAAGGTTCAGCAGTTAAAGCTGGGGAGAATCAGGAAGATCCCTTCTGTAACAGCCTTGTTGAGCCTTTTCTCTGTTTTCAGTCCTCCCAAGGATGTGTGTCTCAAATCTCCCTTTTTAAAAGTGGGTTGCTCCTATGACATTCTGGACATAGGGAAATGGGGTTAGATCATTTTTACGGGTTTAGTAAAAGGGAGGAGGGTGGATTGGTCTTTATTCTGATACCTAGGCCTCTCTCCGTAACTCACATCTCAGAATTACCTTATAAGAAAGACCTCTTGTAAAAAAACCCTTTACCAATAATGTCCTACAACTCTCATATTCCAGATTCCTCCCTCTAGGAGATGAGCCTGCAGATACTGCCCTCTGCAATTCCGAACATATCAGCTAGCCTACAGAAAAACATTTTTATAAGGGTCCTCATCTTAATTGAGCCATACCTTTTCGAGACTGTGGGTGCACTCACCTTTCTTCTAACAAGCCAGGGAATAAAGAAGTTTCCATACCTTCTAATGGGAAAAAGAAAACCATGTTCTGGTTCGGGGACTGCAGACATCTACAGATAAGCCCATGACTTGCAAAGTGGCTGATCTGCTGATCTATTCTGGTAAATGTAACTTGGGAAGAACATTAATCATTTATAGCTGATTATTTTCAGGCCCAAATGGAGTTGAAGAAAAGTCTTCACAGGGAAGCAAGAATTAATAAGCCAAACCCGAGGGACCATAAAGCCAAGAAAATCCTTCAAAGTATCCCAAGGAGTAACGACCATGACCTTCTAACCACGTTGCCTGATGAAACCTTGAATGGAAGTCCAGGTGAGTCACGTAAATTTTTAGTAAAATATTTCAAGTGTTTTTTTTTTTTTAGGATTTTTTTTTATTTCAGCATATTATGGGGGTACAGATGTTTACGTTACGTTGCTCCCCCCTCCCCCCCTAAGTCCGAGTTTCAAATATGTCCATCCTTCGGGTGGTGCACATTGCACTCTTTGTGTATGCAAATACCCATCCCCTCCTTCCTCCTCCCCCTCCCCCCTCCCCCCTGCCCAACATCCAATAGATGTTATTCTTATATGTGCACTTATGCGTTGATCAGTTAATACCAATTTGATGGTGAGTACATGTGGTGCTTGTCTTTCCATTCTTGGGATACCTCACTTAGTAGAATGCGTTCCAGCTCTATCCAGGAGTATAACAAGAGGTGCTATATCACCATTGTTTCTTAAAGCTGAATAGTATTCCATGGTGTACATATACCACATTTTATTAATCCACTCATGTATTGATGGACACTTGGGTTGTTTCCACATCTTTGCAATTGTGAATTGTGCTGCTATAAACATTCGGGTGCAGGTGTCTTTCTTATACAGTACCATTTGCTCTTTTCGAGTTTTTTTTTTTTTTTTAATTTTATCAAACTCCCAGGGTGGGTGGGGATGTGTTGAGAAGACAGCAAACAGCCTTGAATTCCTGCTGAGATTTTATTTCCCAGAATATAGTCAGCAAGTTGTCATGTAATTTTGGATGGCTGGGAGGAAAAGACATAAGTTTGGTAATAAAATGTCTCTTTCTTTTTATGGGTTTAATACTCTTTGCATGCATTATTGCAATCCTTGCCCCATAACTAGAAGGAGAAAAGGCAAAATAGCCCCATCTTGTGTTTAGAGAGAATGAAGCACACAGAGATATGTTAAATTGCCTGCGGTCACAGGTCAAATTTGCATCAGCCAGGATGGTACCTTATGCAGACACTCCTCTCCCCTGCTGCACCCTTTCCCCAGCAGGTCAACACTCTCTGGCACATTTAGAAGGTCTAAAATGAATCCAACATCATTGTCTATCCAAGCTTGCCCCTGCTGCTGCATCTACCATCTCAGTGCGTCATGTCACTCAGGCCAGAGACCTGGGGCCTTTTCAGCCCTTCTTCTGTCTCTTCCTATAGCTAGTGAGTCACCAAGTTCTGTTGACATCACCTGGCACTGAAACCTGCCCTCTCTTCCATTCCCAATAGTATTGCCTTAGGTCCAGCCCTCGTCCCATGACACCAGGGCTCCAGCTGTAGCCTCCTGACCGGGCTCCTCCCCTTAGGTCTGACTCTGTCCAGCAGCCCTCCACTTGGGTGGTTCTCAGTGTGGTCCCCAGACCACTAGCATCAGCATTACCCGGGAACTTGTTAGGGCCCCAGCCAGAGTGACTGAATCAGAAACTCTAGGGGTTAGGCCCAGCAATCTGGGTTTAACCACCGCTCCAGGTGATTCTGATACCCCTAAAGTTTAAGAAACGCTTAACCTTCAGTGTTTCTTAACTCTAACTACTTGGTAATCAAAGTATTACCCACAGACCAGCAGCATCGGCATCACCTGGGAACTTATTAGAAGTACAGAATCTGAGGTCCCACCCCAGACCTACTGAATCAGGACCTGCATTTTATCAAGATCCCCAGGCAATTCTCATGTACACTGAAGTTCTAGAAGCACTGCACTAATATCACAGTAATCTTATAAAATGCAAATCTGACCATTGTCAATCTCCTGCCTAAAAAAAATCCTCTGTGGTCTCTGAAGACAAAGTCTAAACTCCTTAATATGGGACTCTGAAACTTTCAGGATCCAGCTGCTGCCTACCCTCCTAGCTTCATCTTCCTGCTCCAGCCTCCACACTCCAGCTGGGCCAAATTGCTCTGCCCTCTCAGGTTGCGCTGTGCTTTCCAACGATGTCTACAACCTCTACGCCATGGTGCCCCACCAATTAGAGCTCCATTAAATTTTCCCTGTCTGTATCCCCCCCAGGGCAAACCCACAGTTGCCAATGTACAGTACTGTTCACACACAGAGATCGCAGCGCTGTGAGCCAAATCCCCACGTCAGCAGGGCTGACCACTAAGAGAGCTGCAGAAAAGCTGGCCGGTCTCTGGAGGTCTTGAACGTCTAAGATGCGAAATCGCATGCTGAAAGAGACACTGTCCCCACTCAGAGGAACAAGATGCTTAATCAATGAGTTAATTAAATAAGAAAGGCTGAATAATTGAAAATCTACTTGGGGCATCTATTTAACCTATACTCCCAAGACTCAGAATGAAATATGCTTTGTAGTCACATAAACAACTTCCACAATTTAAAAAATGCCTTTAAAATATATAGGCGAAACAACCAAGAAAAGAGCCCCAGCTAAAGTTAGACACTTGGTGTCATTTCTTGAGAGCAGGCCAAGAAAAACCATTGGCGAAGGCTTTGAAAGACACCCCAGACCTGGAGGGGACCAGGAGAGACTGGCACATGGAGAAGGGGGTTTTCCTCTGCTCTCTCGATGCTTTTTAAAGCTGCTTCATTTTGTTCAAGCTGAGGTTTGTTCAGTACTTACTATAAGCCAGGTCTTATGGTCCGCCCTTAGCATGCATCATCTCATTTAACCCTCACACAACCTATTTAATAGAAGGTAGGAGTGACTATTTGTCCAGTGTGATAGAGCCAGGATTCAAAGCCAGGTCTTTTTGACCTGCCCTCTCGCATGACCTCATCAGGACGCCAAGGACTCGGAGCTTGGTAAAAGACAGCCTTGGGAAGGTCTGAAACTCCTCAACCTTATCTTCCAGGAGCAGATTGCACTCTGTGACTTCTGAAAAGGAAGTGAGAGCAGCTGGTGGACATCAGCATTCATGTTCTCCTGGAAGTGACAGGGGTGGGGAGAGGGAGATCAGAAGGAATAACTCAGGCAGAAGCCAGTTCTAGTGCCAGTCTGGGAGGCGTGGCGGCATCAGTGGTGCTCAGCCCAGGTCACCCTCAGAACAACCTGGGGAGCTTTTCAAAAACATCCAGTCCAGGCTCCCAACTTCATCCTACTGAATCAGAATCTCTCTAGGTTGGGGGTGAAAGAATTTTACTTTTTAAAAGTTCCCCAAGTGATTTTGAAGATTAGCCAAACTCTGATGAACTAGCTAACCCTTAAGAGCTCTTTCAACACTTCAATTTTATGAAAACCTTTTTGTTTGTAATGACTCTGTGTGTGTGTGTGTATAAATACACATGACAAAATGAGCCCATAAAATGTAGATTTTGCTAGCGTGAGATAGAGAGAAAATTCTAATTCTTTCCATTATAATGAAATCACAATTAATTAGAATCTCATGGAATGAGACGTCTGCATCAACTCATTTGCCTATTGCTGAAGTTGTTGGAAGTAAGGCAAGTGAAAGTTATTTGATGGTGGAGAGATCACAGTGCCTGCAGAGTTTACCGTTCCGTTCTGTGCTGTCATTCTCATTGTACAGCCCTGTACATGTGAAAGTGTAAGATATTGGGACAATAATGGACACAGCTAGTATTTATACAGTAGCTCTAAGCATTTTAAATGCATTATTTCATCACCGTATCAACTTTCTGAGGCGAGGGTTATCACCACCTCTCTTTTACAGATGAGGAGACTAGATCCAGAAAGGCCAAGGCACACACACAAGGTCACAGCCAGCCAGGGAGAGGTGAAACTGATCAGTGCTGCGCATGCGGGGTGCCAGACTCCGCAGGCAGCAGACTTCACCCCTGCCACTTGGCATATGTTCTAGCAGTGATTCCTTTTTACTTATTCCCAGAGAGCATCTTTGATTTCTTTCCCTGCCTTCTAGAAGTAGTTTGCTTTGCTTTCTCCTAAAAGTGGAGTGTAGCCAAGATCATATACTCACATGAGCATTCTGCTCGTCAGAGTCTGGTACTTAAGGTTTCTCTGCACCGTCTCTGGTTACTTAATGATCTATTCACCCATTCCTGTTCCCCTTTTGAAAGGTAGGGTGAGAGTTTTAGCTCTCCTGTGAGATAAAAGTCAGTCTTTGTTTTCTGCTGCCTCTTCAAAATGAAATCACTCACACCTTAAAAGATATTTTACATACATTTATATAATAAATGACACATATGATCATATAATGAATATAACTATATATAACATACACAAAATGAAGATCACTCTTTTTGGTGTACAATCCTATGGGTTTTAATGTGTTTATGTGGCTCCTGTCCTTTCCAGACGCCATGACATGAATGTATTGAGTAGAAAGAGCATTGGAATCAAAGTCCTTCCCTGAGTCCCAACAGCGCATTTACTAAATGTGAACTCCTTGACAGCAGAGACCTTTTCTTTTTCCTAGAATAGTGCCTGCCGGTACATAGTAGCCTCTCAACAAATAT